TTTCAACACGGCGGTAGTGATGAAGTGGAACGCGGCGAGCCCACGTGCGACCTCGCTCCTAGTGTAGCGCAAGTCGTTGCAAAGTGTGGAGGTGGGCATGTTCGGGTCGCCCACGGGGGCATGTCTCTCAGTACTCCCGATGAATTGACCGTCTACTTCCACGGTCTTAGCGGCCTGGATGAAAGCTTTTTGCCACGTGCTAAATCCGCTGCTGCGGCCCCCCTCAAGGCGAGGGGCCACCACGTTTACTTTCTTCGAGTGATTGAAGCTATCGATGTAATCACCGTTACCACGAGTTGCGGGTATCTCACCTGGGGGGTTTAACCCCCTCGCTTCCCCGCGGTCACCTCCTACGTCAGGCCCCACTCTCGCTGGAACCCCAGGACTCGCTCCCGGTATATTGTCCCAGCGGCTTTCCCATGGGTGATTTGGCCCATCACGGGCCGCTTCCCGGGAAAATGCCCCGCCGCCCTCTGACGGCAAGGACTCTCTCTGGCTTGGGACGGCAGCACCGCCGCCCCTACTGGCATCGCCCGCCACGGCGTCGCCAGGCTCCTTCCTCTTAAGCTCCGTTGCTATGCTCATCAGCTGCGATAGCTGGCCCTCCAGCCTCGCAATCGCCGGGTCCTCGGCGGGTTGCTGTTGCATGGCTGAGGTCTCTTCCCCCAGCCCTTCGACCGAACCGCTGTCCGACACAGCCATCACCCGATAGAGTTTGTCCCTCGAGGGACAAACTCTAGAGTGTTTGCAGGCCGTACTCCGCGTACTTATCGGGTATTGTTTGTGTAGTGTATTAACTTCAGACGGTGAGGCAACGCCCGTACCCAGGGCGCTGTCGTGCTCAGAAAGGAGGAGTGGCAGCAGGGCTGCTGGACACGACAAAAGGGGGCCCCGGTGCATCATCGCCGTACCCCTACCTAAAAGGTTCTACACCATCTGCGTCACACTTGTACGTATGTCGGCTAACATATCCAAACCATGTCCAACAGATGACAGCTGTGCGTATGGCTTCATTTTTTTTCTGGTGCTTTCACTTCCAGAGACAGTTATAAGCACTGTGTAGCTGCCTCGAGGATGCTTGACCATTTGAACACAACGTGGTGCGATCATCCCCCTTGCGCGGAGTGAGGGTTCTCCACACCGCACAACATGATCTACCCGACCACCATTCATTATGGTTACCGAAAAAAAAAAAACAGATGAAAATAAAAAGAAAACGGCAACCTGGTTGCGGAGTTCACGAAGATACAACGTCGTTGCCAAGCGACGAAAACCCGGCCCCGATGGCAAACACCGGGGGGGGCGGGTGGGACAATTCATGGAGGGGGGGGAATTCAGAGGATACGGTATATGCATATATATGAAATCCACATTTAGTTAACAGTTGCGGTTTGGGTCATTGTTACTTTGTATTACATTATTACGCTCCCCGAAAGAACCTAAGAAAACACGGAAGGGTGAATTTAAAAGTGTCTCTTTTTTCCGCTTGTTGTTGTTCATTACAGATAACGCTCGCACTTAAAAACTTCGCAGTTAAGAAATTGAGACTCGATAAACAACAGAAGCTAGGAACTTGAGCACCATTTGTGAACCCCTACACTAAAACCTAAGACACTAAAACCTACTAGGGCAATGAACGCCCCCCCCCCGGTGTTTGCCATCGGGGTTTGGGTTTTCGTCGCTTGGCAACGACGTTGTAAAACAAGCCAATTCACTTCGTGAACTCGGCAACCAGGTTACCGTTTTTTTTTTTTTACCTCGGTTTTTTTTTTGGCGGTAACCATAATGGTGGTCGAGTAGATCATGTTGTGCGGGGTCGAGAAACCTCACTCCGCGCAACGGGGGATGATCGCACCTCGTTGTGTTAAAATGGTCAAGCTTCCTCGAGGCAGTTACACAGCGCTTACAACTGTCTCTGGAAGTGAAAGCACCAGAAAATAAATTAAGTCATACGTAGCTGTCATCCGTACGCAAGGAAGTAAGCACAAGATGCCGAACACCCCTAGCAGGATGCAGCTCACCCTTCATGCGGCTCGCCAAATACCTCACGGCGCTTCGCGCTTGGTGATGTGAGAGCCTGGTCCGGTGAGAACCCGGCGTGCTCCGTCCCGGCTTTGTAGGGATGCGAGGTCAATGGTCAAACGACTACGGCATGCACGACTATGAGTACACCCCCCCCCCCCCCCCCCACCCCCAAAGGGGGGGGGGGGACCAAGGCCAAGGGGAAAAAAAACCTGAGGAAAATAGGGGGGAAAAAAGAGGGGGGTCCAAAAAA